TGGTAGATGTTTCCTTCCTTCTTTGGAGTTTAAGAAATCAAAGGTATACCTCCTGCTGTGTTATTTTCCCACATTAGTGTGTACTGAGCTCTTTGCTGGGTGATCAGGACTGTCTTGGACCAGAAAGACACTATTTCCCTCTTATAGAACTTCTCCCAGAATATCCATGATCCTACTTAGTGCCTTTTCTGTCTATTCCTTTAGTTCTCAATGAAGGTAGCATTTCCCTAAATATGGAGGTCATTTTAATTTACAATTTTATAAAGTATTTTTAGTCTTCAAATAGTACTAATGATTTGGCCCAAAGCTAATATTTCTGTTTCTTTACCTGCCATATTGTCCTTACCCCATCACACTCATCCTAACCTCTCCATTGAAACTGCTGTCAAGGGTCCCTAAAGATCTGACAGATCTGTTGACTGACTTCTGTCCTTCTCTTACTTGAGTTTGTGGCATTTGATAACTGTTGATCATTTCCTCTTACTCCTGTGGACATCAGTGATACATTAACATCCAGACAGTATTTATCAAGCAAGGCAGATTATATAACAGTAAACAAGAAATGCATTTTTCCCTACATAGAAGTTTTATTCTCATGATGTTGTGCTTATTACATGAGAGTTAGTATTAGACCATCTGAGACCTAGCTCTGACACCTACTGTTGTGTCAACTTAAATACATTTCTTAACAGTCTTCACCTGTAAATAGTAACATTACAAATACCAGCATAGTAATTTCAAAAAGCATTAAATAATCTCTGAAAATATTTAGCACACTGCTTGGCATTCTTTACATTCTTAGGGGGGCAGCCTAAGTCTGTCAATTTACTCCTTTTTTGAAGACATTATGTCATCTCTTTGGCTGGTGTTCTTTACTCTAGCCTTGGCAATCTCAAGTCCCACTTTTGCAATGCTGATTGCACTTCTGCCTGCCAGCCATTAAACACTGACTACTGTTCTTCCCTGACATACTGGCTTCCCACCTCCCTCCTTCCTCCATACTCCATTAGAGTTCATCTGCTGAGGCCTCTTCACTTCCTGGTCAGGTTTTGAACACCTGCTTTTTCTTCCAGTCTCTCTTCAAACATTTCTGCAAGCAGAGGCAGACACTGTTTCTTTGCATCTCTTTAGGTCCCTATGCATATCTGTCATAACACAGTCAAGTGTAATCTGCAGGGGTCCATGAGAGAAAAGAAAGTGTCTATTTGTCTTGGTATTCTTAGATGTGGCACAACTGTGACCTTAAAATATAGATAATATTTATCAAACAAATACTTAGATGAATGCTTACTTTCTATGAAAGGACACTGTTCTCTATGTGCCAGGTATTGTGCTAGTTACTGTTAGATATGCAGCATCAATAGGACAAGGTCATTGTCTTCAAGAAAGGCACACTCCAAGGCAGGATGGGATAGCCGATGAGAGATAACACCCATAGCAGGAAGGAACATTCTATTTCATTCAGAGGTATGGGATGTTAGCATTTAGACTAATCATCTTCTTAAAAGAGGTGAATTAACAGTAATTTAAAATTTGGACTTTTTACTTACCCATTAATAAGAGCAGTTTTATTATGACTTCTGCCTCTTGAGGAAATGTATTCTCGTAGACCCAAATGTCAAGCTGTCATAGCATCTTGTGATAGAAAGAGATGAGCATTGTCTATATGTTTCAAGTGATTTACTGTAAGTAGGGGTTTGCGTCAATCGTAGGTGGAATCTTGGGAGGTAGAACTTTAGCAGTTATCTGAGCTAAACCACTTTGTGCTTCTGATTTTTGAGATAAGGTTTAAAATGGAAGTTTTGGCTACTCATTTGTAGTATATTTGCAGAAGTTGAAGTGATCTTTCCCTACCTTTAATTTTTTAAACTCTAAGAATTTTTTCTTCTTTTCTGTTCTAATGCAGTTTAACAATTGTGGGAATGAAAATCTTCATTAGTTAATTGAATATTGTGATTTATATAGAATTATTATGAACAGTATTTGAGTATAATATTCAAAACAAGTCAGCTTTTCTTTAGTGAAACAAAAGTCATCTTAGCATCATGGTGCACTATAGTGACATCATTTGAAAATTAATAGTCATTATATCTTAAAGTACAGAGGTGATTTAAAAAAAGTATGAGTTTATTTTGAAATAATTTCAAGTTTACAGAGAAGAAAATGCAAGTACAGTACAAATCATGCTCTTTTCTGAGCCACTTGCTTCATTACCACTGAATGCTGTGGTATGCAGTTCCCGGAAATGAGGACATCCCTACATTGAACCATCAAGGTAGGGGATTTAACTTTGTCCAGAGGGCATTTTTAAAGCAGCAAGGTTTTTTAGTTGATAAAGTGCTGCATATGAGGTAGTTTTTATTTTGTTGCCTCTGTTAATTTCTTTACTGGTTGTTTTTTGGAATATTATTTGAGTTCTGGCACTGAGGATAGAACATGAACTTACTGTGTTGTCTTTATATCTGTGTTCTTCACTTAAGAACTGTGAGGACATTTTCACAGTTATGAGAAATGCCAGTTAGAAGCAATTCTTTTTCTCTTCTGTGCTTATAGACCCTATGTACTTAGAAGACACAATTCTTCAAAATTTTGAAGCAATCTATGGAATGTTTTCAGTGGTATGTAAAATATTGTAGTTCAGCAAAGATCAATCAGATTCTAGGGATGCTTATTCTGAATTTAGTTTTTAAGAAGAATTTCATAATTAGAAAATTTCACAGCAACAAAGGATACCACCACTGAATGTGGCCATAACTAATTTGTTCATGTTAGAATTTTTTAGTTATCACATAGTGATGGTGACATAGGATTTGACATAGAAAGAAGTATTAGTGAAAGAGATGAGAGTGAATTTTCAGACATGTAGTAATCATACTAGGAGACTCTGGTTTGATAAGCTAAAAACAATGAGAGTTTTAGGAGGAACAATTGATCAGTAGTGTCAAATTAAAGGAAAAACAATAAACAAGGTCAAATAGGATAAGGACGAAACAGCATATGTTGGTTTAGATAATTTTGAAAGCAGTTCCACCAGAGCAGGAGCCAAGTTGCAGATCATCCATCTTGCTTCTTTCTTCCACACTAGAGAACTGGGCAGATAAGTGCTATTATTATCAACTCTGGCTGGTGTTATTGTTAGTAAATGCAGCATATGTTGAATAGCAATCTTGTAACATGGCAGTGTAGACTGAGTAGTGATGTTTTTATCATAATAGGTGGCTTTCTTAGCTAGCCTTGAACATCAAATCTATGAAACTGAAATAAATGTGAAATGTTTCTTAATATAGGGACTCCTTACGTAGGTTTCTACTTATTTTCATTTCACATGGATTTTGAGGAAAATCTATGAATTGTAAATTTGAAATCTTACCTTGACTACCATACTTTTAGAATCTATAGTAAGTTCTCAACAAATACTTGATGTATTCTGAATTTATTTTAAAAATAATTTTATTGATTGTAATACTGCCACACTTCTGGATGGAAGGAACACTCAAGAAATAATAAAGATAGAAATAGGAAAACAAGCCATAGACAGTGTCAATTTTTCTGCATTCTAACGGGGCACTAGTAAAGTGTCCTGTCTTCCCAGTCCAGCCTTGATTCTCAGGACTTCCTTATAAGACGGAATAGAGTGGACAAGAAAAGATGAAAATGAAACTACACATACTAATTTCAACCAAACTCAAGAAGAAGTAATGGAGTGACTGTATAGAAGCTGTCTTTAGCATACAGATTCTTTCTAAGTGTTGAACTTCTCTTTGGACCATAAATTTCTACTATTTTTTCCTTAGATCATTCTCAACAGTGAATTTCACATGGTCACTTGTGATCCTGCTTCTGATTACTCTACAATACATTGTGTGTATTTATTTATTTATACTTATTATAATTCTAGTAGTAAAAGTAGAGTTCCTTTTGCTGGGTTATCAAAGAATGAGTATGTACTGACAATGACTCTGTTTCTGTGTAGTCAAATTCCTACTATACTTTTGACTGCTCTTAGTTTTGTGGTTGAAAGAATGCAAATCATTCCAAGTTCTGTCATTTAAAATTTCTTGTTTTCTCTGTCCCTAAGGTCTAACTGACCTGCTGGACTTTTCCTGAGATTGCTAACATAAACCTTTCATTTCCACTTGATAGCTTGATACCTTTTCCTATTCATCTATTAGATTCCCTTTGAGTTGATTTTTTCCCACTTAATGAGTACATTATACTATGCAATAAATGGTAGTATGGGTGATATATGGGCATAATATAGAGACAACTTGGGTATTCTGTAAAGACTAGGGAAATCATTAAGAAAAATAAAAAATGTTATTTGTGATATTTATAGCAACTGGAACAGGTTATTAAAGACAAAAAGGAACAAGTAGATTAGTAGCATTTAAAAACTTTATGCTTTGGGAGTTAGGAGGAAGAAAGAGATAAGTAGGAGTTGCACAGTGGAGTTTTAGGGCAGGGAAACTACTCTGCATGATACTATAATGTCAGCATTAATAGAATTTATGGCATGGTAAACCCCAATGTAAACTATAGACTTTGAGTGATGACTGTGGGTCAATGTAAGTTTATTTTTTATAACAAATGTACCACTCTGGTGGAGCATGCTACTGGGGGGCGGGGAAGCTATGCCTGTGAGGGGCAGAGGGTACAGTGAACAATGTACTTTCCACTCAATTTTGTCATGGACCTAAAACTAGTTTAAAATGCAGTCTATTTAAAAACAAACAAACAAACAACAAACAAAAAACATACAGATAAAAAACCTCAAACATGTTCAATTCTCACTAATATCTTAGAAGCATCCAAAAGATGAACTATAATTTACTTTTTCTGATTCATATGAATGAGCTAACCTGTATGGGAAAATGTCTGCCCAAGGAAAATGTCTTTCTTGCTTCACTTACTATCGACCTCTTTTGAGAAGCATTTTAAAAGCTATAATCTAATTTTTTCTTATTCTACTTTCTTAACATTTGCTTCTCATTTTCTTTCAGGTTTGAAGTTTGAGGAAATTCAAGAAAGATTTGGAGAGGAGTTCTTTAAAATATGCTTTGATGAGAATGAGAGAGTCCTTCGAGCTGTAGGTGGTACATTACAGGACTTTTTTAATGGCTTTGATGCTTTGTTGGAACACATTAGAACTTCTTTTGGAAAACAGGCCACTCTGGAATCACCATCTTTCCTATGCAAAGAGCTCCCTGAAGGTACTCTTATGCTCCACTACTTCCACCCTCATCATGTGGTGGGGTTTGCAATGCTGGGGATGATTAAGGCTGCAGGAAAGAAGATCTATCGCCAGGATGTGGAAGTGGAACAGGTTGCAAACGAGAAGCTGTGCTCTGATGGTTCAAACCCAGGCAATTGTAGCTGTCTTACTTTCCTTATCAAAGAATGTGAAAATACTAACATCACGAAGAACCTTCCACAGGGAACCTCCCAAGTTCCTGCAGACCTCAGAATTAGCATCAACACCTTCTGCAGAGCCTTCCCTTTCCACCTGATGTTTGACCCCAACATGTCAGTCCTTCAGCTGGGAGAAGGCTTAAGGAAACAACTTCGATGTGACACTCACAAAGTGCTCAGGTTTGAGGACTGCTTTGAGATTGTTTCTCCAAAAGTCAATGCTACCTTTGAGAGAGTTCTGCTGCGACTGTCCACCCCATTTGTGATTAGGACCAAACCTGAGGCTTCTGGCACTGAAAATAAAGAAAAGGTAAGTGGATACGGACTTGAGATCGGTGAGGGGAACCATGGAATGGATAATTATTTCAATAAATTACATGCTGGCTATACTTGTAATTATTTAGGCAAGAGAGCTTTAAGTGCCATTTAGAAGATTACTGGTCCCTTGATGTATGTAAGAAGATTTGGCCCTATTCCCAGCCATTTTGCATAGTGTCTGCCTCATTCATTAATTTATTTCAGCACATAAAAAGGAGACATTTATTAATACTAGGCATAGCAATTACAAAAATGATAGGACTCACTAAAAATCTAATATTTTACATTCATGAATTTTTTTCACTGATTGAAGTCAAACCGTGAGAGAAATAGTGATACTGATTTCAGCATTGCAGGGTTTGATTGCCTTATCTGGAAATAAATATAGGTTAAAAAGTCAGCTATACTATGAATCTGTTCTTTTCTAAATTTCATAATCTAGGAACATCTAATACATATCCTACTTTTGTCTTAGTGTACAAAATAATGTTCCCCATAGGTTGGAAATTGACTGTCTAAAAACTTCTCTTTAACTAAATTTTAGTATTGAAATAGGTTCATTCCTTTAGAATGTGTTCATTCCTTGAGAAGATTCAGAGAATATTAGTATTCCATACTCATGTTCTACTAAAATGCAGTTCTCTTAGGCTTTCATCTTATATCCAAGTATTTTGTGGAAGTTATTGGTTATTAGAAATTAATAGGTTGCTATGGCTAAAAGAAGGAAAAATTTCAGAAATAATGAAAAACTCAGTAAGTGAATAATCTACTACACATATTCTGGATTGTCTGCAATAATAATTAATGAAAAAATAGGATCCTGAAAGTGGAGTCAAATATGTTTTTGAGGATTTTGTACAGTATTAGTTTCATAGTTAACTTTATAATTTTGAAGTTCAATGGAAACCTTTTAAAGTATCTGAGAAAGATGGAATGATCCTTAAGTATTCCCTCTGAATAAGTGATTTAGGAAAATCATTCAGTAATATTTTTATTATATAAATCCAGGGATTAGAAATCATCTAAGGATAGACCTGGATTTGATACATTTGGATATTTTAGTGTGAATGAATTATTATTGTTCTTATTCGATCACAGAAAGATTTTTTTAATTTTTTGTTTTTTTAGTAGTACTGGGGATTGAACTCAGGGGCACTTTACATCTGAGTTATACCCCTAGTCCTTTTTAGTTTTTATTTTGAAACAGGGTCTTGCTAAGTTTTCCAGTCTGGCCTCAAAGTTATGATCCTCCTGCCTCAGCCCCCCAAGTTTGCTGAGATAACAGGCATGTGCCACCATAGCCAATTAATAATATTTTTAAGGTGATATATATATATATATATAAGTTATACATATCAATATACATATATATTTATTAATTACTGCTTATTTTGAGGCCTCTTAGAATGGAAGAAACTTGGTAAATGTGTATTTTTGTTCACATTTGTAATTGCTTTAAAATGGGAATTATACTAGCTTTTTAATTTAGAAAATATTAAAGCTGTCATTTCGGTTTTACAGGAGTTCAATATTTGGCATGGAGGGTTTGAAGCATATTTTGGCCTTTAGAATTGAAGTTAGCATTTTCAGAAATGTTCCTGAACTAGATTATTAACAATGTTAATTGTTTTATGTATTGGAGAAAAATCCATTCAATTTAAATATAATGCTTCAGATTTCCCCCCTATATTTGGCTTGTATTTCTGTTGAATTTGTATACCAGGGTAAGAAATAGACATAATGAAATGATGACTCAAATGTCAAGGCCCCCTGCCAATTCCAATAATAAGGAACTGGCTCATTGAGAAGATGCAATTATCATCTAAACATGCTCATGTAGTTTAAAAATAAAGCCATAGGCTAGATTTTTAGTTAGAAAAGAGTAGTAATGTGCTCATTCTTATGTGTACATTTCTGCATACCCACCTGAGAAATGGTTTTGAGAAGGGGACATTTTGGAGGCTATAGTTGTCCAAATTGGAACTATAATCAGTGATGGCATAGAATCTTACCCAGGTGAATAAGTAATGTTTTTGAATTAATGTGTCATCAAATTCCAGTATGTAGTTTCTTAAGATATGGAAAGAAGAAAGCAAATCAGGCTTAAAAATTAATTATGTTCTTGTTGATAAATGTGACCTTGATATGCATTATTTCCCCATAATAACTGTTCTTATTAATGGATTACTTCATGTTGCTTGAAGTCTCTAGTTTTTATTTGGCTTGGATAAGAAAGTGCTATTTTACAATAATTTAACATATATAATTCTTAGTCTAACACTAAAAGCTTTCATTATTTATCTATTTTGTCTATGCACTTAATACCAATGAACCACTACCCCTGCCATCAAGAGAAAAAGTTGAGTTAATCATCAGTCATGACAGTAAAACATTTGCAGATTGAATTGAAAATGCTTCTGATAAATTATGATCTTCGTGATTTTATTTATTTATTTCATTTATTTATTTTATGACTAGAGGTACAAAATGCTTGTAAGCAAGTTGGTGAGATACTAGTGAAACAGAAAGCCATATCTTAGACTCTAAAGTATTACATCTTGATCCTGCTGTAATGGGTTATAAACATGTAAGGCTTGATCAAGATGTCAACTTGTCACTGAGAGGCATCTGGTGCAACAATCCATGGCAGGTTTCAATTCAGCAGTCTTGAAGTCAGAAGAAACTTCCAGATGGCTTAATTAGGCTTTGATCCCATCACTTGGTTTCCTCTGCATCTCTAAGTGCTCATCCATGTCTCACACAGTCTCTCTCTCTCTCTTTTTTTCTCTCTCTCATTTCTTTTCTCCCCATGTGTTTTTATCTCTCCTTAAGCTCAACTTCTTTTTCTGCACCTTCTTACTCATCTAATGTCAAGCACTGAATATGAATAAATTAGTTATTAAAAACAGATATGCTAGCAATAAAGACTCTCTTAGATATCCATGTTAATCTGTGCCATGATCTCTTTCACATCATTCAGATCTAATATTGTTCTGAGAAACTGGGATCTTATTTTGAGTTACAAGGCTTTGTGATGAATTGGAGAATAAATTTGTTTGCAATCCAGCAAGCTGTTTGGAGGTTAATATTTTCATGTGAACTCAACCCATTGAAGTTGATTTCAATGTTTCTTTGTGTGGAGGATTATTACAAATCAGGGTAATGGCACATATTCTTATACTGTAAGTGACATGATAAGTGTCAACAGATTGTAAGAGAGTTTCCTCTGATAACCTTTATTTTAGTAAATCCTTTTAATTTCTGAGTGTCAGATTGCTACATCTGGAAATTAAGAAACTTAGACTAATAATTAATATTTGTATTCCTTTATAAGTCATACTTGATACATGTATATTTATATGATATCAATTATTATGGTTTAGATGCGGTGTCCCACAAAAGCTCACATACAAGACAATGCAAGAAGATTTGGAGGAGAAATGATTGGGTTATAATCTTACCCCAATCAGTGAATTGATCCCTGATGGGATTAACTGAGTGATAACTAAAGGCAGATGGTGTGTGGCTGGAGAAGTGATTCATTGTGGGCATGGCTATGGGGCATATATTTTGTATCTTGAGAGTGGAGTCTCCCTCTGCTTCCTGATCATCATGTGAGCTGCTTCCCTCCTGCATACTCTTCCACCATGATGTTCAGCCTCACCTCGACCCCTGAAGAATAGGAGCCAGCTGCCTTTGGACTGAGACCTCTGAAACCATGAACCCTCAGATCTTTTAGTCACAGCAGTGTAAAAGAGGACTAAAAAACATCAATTGACCATAAACTTTTTCTCATCCCCATGATTCAGTGAATTCAGATTCATTTTAAAAGAGAGGAAGGGGGAAGGTGGCTTATCTACCAGGAAGAATGCATTTTATTATAAAGACTGGATTAAAAAAAATCTCTTGACAGTTTAGGTGACCAACCTGAGAAAGTTACTTTTAAGGATTAAATGATATAATCTACCTAAAATTCTTAGCATCTGCAGCTCCCAACATTAAGTTGCTGAATAAAAATTGTTATTACTTTTTCTACTATATTGTTATTGTTCCTTCCCACCTGTAATATTCCCTCTACGCATTCCCCTACTCACTTCTTTTTGCCTTAGAGAAGACAGTATCAGATATCAGCAGGTTTAATGATTTTAGAGAAATATCAACCTCACCTAACATCTTTGTAAAAACAGGGCTTGGTCTCTGCTTCTTGTCTTTTTAATAAAGATTAGAAAACCACTTGTCACAAGTCCTCCAGGAGCTCTATTTGGGTTTGCTTTTTACTTACAAATTATTACATTTTTAAAATCCCTGGTCTTCTTTGCAGATTCATGAAAGTTTGGAATCAAATTTTCATTACCCCTGTCTACTAATATAATTTATATTCACTTATCAAAGCATTTTGCAGTGGCTTCCAAAATGAAAGAGATGGATTAACCTAGCCACTGACTGAAATGGCAATGGATTTTGAAAAACAATAAACAACATGAGTTCTTTTGACTTTTTTTTTGGTGGTTGTTTAGTAGCAATGCTTCAAAAACCTTAATAATACCCTGGAAGAAGTCCAGCATTTGAAATACATCATCTCTAGGACAGAACAATAATGTTGTTATTCATCTTCTGTTTTGTTCTCAGGGTAAGCATTAAGGAAAAGTATAACCAAATTACATTTTTTAATCCTCAGAAATATCCTCACACTTGTCTCATCAGTTAGAAACTGCGAGTAAATTCTTGGAAATAACTTTCAATAGATAAAGTAGGAAATAATCTATAATTTTCTGTGGTCGTATCTGTTTTGAAAATCTTCCTTTATCTTTCCTAGACAGGTACCCATCTTTTTATGATGTGCTGATTGAAAAGTTTTAAATATATTTATTTATCTTACCATACATAAAGAACTTCTGAAAGACAAGTTTAATTTGGCTGTCAAGAATTCATTTTTAGGCCAGGCATGATGGTGCACACCTGTAATCCCAGTGGTTTGAGAGTTTGAAGCAG